GGGGGTTTGGAGATGGTTGACAGAGAAGGGGTCGCTGAAAATGTGAATACGGTGGTTTAGCACTCGAGTCTCGACCTGGAGCACACTTGTTATGTTTACACAAGAGAGTCAAAAAGTGTAAGAGCCCTACTGACGTATCGACACTGAGAGAACATCTGCCAGAACGAAATTCGGATGAGATTCATGCTTAGCGCATTCAAACGGATTTGCGGCAAAAGGCGTGAAGGCCGTTCCGAAGGGCACACAAACGACAGCACAACTCGGGTTTCCCCTTAACTGCAGAACGCCGCCCCTCTACTCGGAGCTAAAGAATACTCTCCGAGGGATAGTACCGCGCTCCGGGTTTCCCCTAGCAGCAGAACGCCCCCTCTACTCGGAGCTAAAGAATACTCTCCGAGGGTTGGACCCGCGTACCAGGTTTCCCCTTAACTGCAAGGACGCCCCCTCTACTCGGAGCTAGTGATACGGGAATACGTACCGCCCCCACGCGATCCCTTACTCGAAGATAATACGAGAATACGCTGCGAGGCACCTATAAAGAAAAACAGCATGCTAAATTTCGGCGGCTAAAAAGCAAAGGACGGGCACTTTTGATCGGCAAAGCAAAGTTGGAGTAACGGCGACCGCGTTCGCAATGAAGTCGCCTGTCGAGCAGCTTCCGCGGCGCGCATGCGCCGCGGGGTTGACCGACAGCCGCGCCTCTCGCGCCTCCCGTGCCACGCGCGGCGACGCGCGCGCCGCGCGCCACTCGCCGTGGCATGCAGTACAGTGCCACTGCAGCCTCGTCAACGCCGCACACAGAACCAGCAGGCTGCTCACCAGGCAGCACATTGCTGCACCGGCAAGCAGCGGAGGCCGTGGCGCTGCGGCGCCACCTCCCTGTCCTGTCCACGGAGCAGGCACACGGCAGCATGGCCCTCCACCAGCTGCAGGAGGTGCGCGCCTCCCAGTGGAAGCACCAGATGCTCCCTCACCACCCGCAGCTTTGCGCAGCGCAGCGCACGGGCCACGCCACGCAGAGCTGACCCTCAGTCTGCCCAATAGGCTGCCTGCGGAAGGCCTGGCAGGTGCCCACTCGCCTCCTCGGCGGCCATGTCCTCCGCCCGGGCGAGCGAGCAGCGCAAGAGCGGAGGCGGATGCCATGCTTTGCGTTAACGGCTTTTCCAGTTCCGGTCACTGAAACATCGCAGAGCAGAGTGAATGAGCTTGCATGGGCGAGGGCGGTCGAGAACACGAGCTGCCTCTGCTGCCTCGTGCCTGCCTGCCTGCCTGCCTGCCTGCCTGCCTGCCTGCCTGCCTGCCTGCCTGCCTGCCTGCCTGCCTGCCGCCTGCCTGCCTGCCTGCCATGCCCGCGCTTAGCGTCGGCTGCGGCGCCTGCGTCCTCCCCGACAGCGTCCGCTCGCGGCCAGAACTGAACGGCCAGCGCGTTGAAGTCGTGTCCGTTGGCGAACGGTGCCGCATCCGGTTCAACGACGAGCTCCTCTCCCTCAAGCGGAGGTGCCTCAGGCGCGAGGATAAGCCGCCTTGGGAAGACTGCCGGCACGGCGGGCCGTCCCCAGGTCCAACTTTCATGGATGTGATGGGCTCCTTTCTAACATCGACCGCGCACATCAACGCGCCCTGCCTCGCGCACGTCCGCCTCCTCGAGCCGATCGTTCGCCGCAATCGACCTCCAGCGGTGTTGCTCGCCTCATTTGGCGTGGATGCCTTCGCCGAGGCAGACTTCAAAAACTGCCGTGGCTTCGCGGTCTCCGCCCTCGTCCTCGATGCCGCCCGGGAGATGGGCGTCGATGCGCTTTTCCGCGAAGTCGAACGGCAAGTCCAAGTGGGTCGCCGCCCGCCGGGCGCTGCCGACGTCTCCTCGTCTGCCGGCGCGCCACTCCTCGGCCAGCGTGTTGTGCTCGGCGGGCTCGCGGCCCGCCCTGAGCTAAACGGGCGGCGAGGCGTGGCGCAGAGCTTTGAGGGCGACCGCTACGTGGTTGCACTCGAGGGCGCCGGCTCCCAGGCTGTGCGGGTGCGGCCGGCGCACCTGTCGTTGGGGCAGGCCTCGCCCGCTGTGCGTGAGTTGGAGGAAAGCCTTGGCAAGTGCACGAGCGCGGACGGCCTGTTCGAGGTCCTCTCGCGCTTCAGCACCTGCGACTGCCTCCGCATCATGCGCGCGCGTGGGATCGGCGTCAAGCAGCAGCATGCTGAGCTCAGGCGGAGCGAAATGGATGCAGTCTTTGACAGGCCGGCAGCGGGCCCGGCGGCTGCGCCGCCGCCATCGGCGCGCTCGACGGAGGCGCGCCCGGCGGGCGAGCGCGCCGGTCGGCTCGCGCTCCAGCTGCTTGACGCCCCGACGCCCCTGCTGGCTCGAATCATGACGCTTCGCCGCACGGGCGAGCAGCTCGTGGCGAACGTGCCGGCTCGCGGCGAGGCCGGGCGCGCTGCTGTTCGGGAGCATCACTTCGCGAGCATGCAGGCGATGGCCGTGGCCGGGAACACCTTCGTGGACGCGGGCGGAATGCAGCGCGTCGAGGCGATCTGCGCGCGCGGTCTCGATCGGCTGCAGCAGTCGCAGCTGGCAGAGGAGGGCGCGGAGGCCGATGAGGTCCTCCTCGGACTCGAGGCGGTGGCGAGCCTGCAGAGTCCCGCGGTGGCCACGGCGGCGCTGCAGAGCAGCGTGGCCGGGCTAGTCTGCCAGTTCGTTGCCGCCGCAGGCCCCGGCTCGTCCGTCCCACACAACGCGCTGCGTGCCCTCTGGGCGATCTTGCGCAACGCGCCACCCTGCGACTTCGCCGCGGCGCTCGGAGTGGAGCTGCTGCGGCCAGTAGTCGCCGTTTGCGGCCGCATGTTTGTCGGCTGGCTGCGGCAGAATGCTCTCGATTTTGCGTACCTCGACGTCGTCTGCTGCGTCGTGACCCAGATTGCGGGCGGCGGTCCGGCGCTCGCGGATCTCGTCGCCACGCTGAGCGCACGCGGTTTCAACCACGCCGTACCCACCTCGCTCGCAATAATCCTGTTTCAGCACACGCACGAGGCGCGGCGCGGCGGGCGAAACGGTCGAGACGTTCTGAAGCATTTGGGCCCCATCAACCTAGCGCTGGAAGGCCTCTACACGATCTCGCTCCACTTTGATCTGCGTGCGGTGCACACCAACCCACACGGCTGTAGTTCACGACTGCCACCACCGACCGATCGCCCGCGGCTGCCGACTGACCCTCCCTCTTACCGATGTCCCCGCAGGTGCGAATTCCAGAGTACGAGGGCGACGTGACCAACAGCTTCGACGAGGCGCTCAGCGAGTACGCGGACTTTCTGGAGGGCTTTGTGTCGCACCAGGTGCGCAGCCGCTACATGCAGGTCTACGTCTCGCGTCTCCTCGCATTCACGCCACACGGCACGCCGCCGATGGACCCGCGCCCACCGCCGATCGAGACGGAGACCGAGCAGCAGCGCCGGCTCATGCAGTACGCCGACAGCATGCAGCGCACCCGCGAGGCCGTGCGCCGTCAGCGCGAGCGGATACGGGAGGAAGGCGGCGCCGCGGAGGCGATCCGGAGCGCCGAGGCGCATCGCACGCGCGGCGACGCGGCGATCGGCTCCGATCGGCTCGAGGAGGCGCTCGGCGCATACAGCATGGCGGTGGCGGAGCTTGCCGGCATGGAGGCCGACGCGCGCGCGGCGTGGGCGCTCGTGCTCGCGAAGAGCAGCCGCTCGCAGGCGCTGCTTCTGCTGCGGCGCCACGAGGAGGTGCTCGAGGACGCGACCGACGCGCACGTGCTGCTCGAGCGCCACGGCGAGCGGTTCGACCCGTTGGAGTCGGCTCGAGTTGCGGAGGAGCTGGGCAGGAGGGAGGCGGAGAGCGGTCGCGCCATCGAGGCGCAGCAGCACCGCGCGCGGCGCGCGGAGCTCGAAGCCGAGCGGCGGCGCGCGCGCAAGGAGCGGCGGCGACGTGCGAGGGACGCTGCGCGCGCTTCGGCTCCGGCTCCGGCTCCGGCTCCGGCGGCGGCGACACCCGAGGCGGGCGAGGAGGAGGAGATCAGCGCGGCCATGGCCGCTGCGCACGTGGCGGCGGAGGAGCCAGAAGTCGAGTGCAGCATCTGCTTCATGGTGGCCACCGCCGACGAGCCCCTCGAGGACGTGTGTGGCCACGGCCACCCCCTGCACGCCGGCTGCGCGTCGCTGTGGCGCGCGCAGTGTGTGCGTTTGCAGCAGCAAGATCCAGAGAAGGATCGCGGGCCGCATTGCCCGACTTGTCGCCGCCCAATCTGACGCATGCGCGGCCGGGCGGGCGTTGCAGGCGGGGCCGGCGAGGAGGACTGTGTGGCGCTGCACATACATGCACTTATGGATCATCCTCCGGGGGACATCGACATGTTTTTTATGTATGTAAAAGAGGGGATGCGAATGTTGGACGGAGGGTCGAGACGCGTCCAAAGCTCCAAAAAGAAAAACAGCAAGAGGGCTAGGGGCAAGGGGGGATAGCGCGTCGTAATAGTATTACTAAAACTCGCTAATAGGCCGGTCGGAGCGGATTTTAGAAGGAATTTTATTAAATTTTCAAGTTTAAGCGCAGACCTCGAGACTTGAACGCAAGCATGTTTAGGCCATCTAGAGTGCCGAACAAACTGCCGAACAATTTCTTGACTCGGGCGATGTGGTCGAGTGCAGCCTTCTTGAGCTGGGGAGCTGCCGTAGTATGCGCTGTGGATGGGACGTCGGCCAAACCGAGACGCGCAACCTGCTGGGAGGAGCTACAGCGGCTCCGCTCCTCATGCTGGTTTTCGCCAAACCGAGGCGTTGAGGTCCTCGTACACTCATGTCGCGCCTCGAGTAGGAGCCATCACGCTGCCCAGCGCTGGACCGTCGTAAGGTCCGGCCATAGGCCAGCTCGCAGCACTGTATGAAGTGGCAACAACATGCGTGTGCTGTCGAGCGACGCATACAACTTCACAACTTCACAGTGCTTGTGGGTCGTGTGCAATCGTCTATACACTCTTGTCATCACGTCGCGCACATCACGAGCGCATCGTGAGGGCCATGGCGGCGATCCACAGCGCGTTGCGCTGGGCGAACTTGCGCCGCTCGATGGCGGGAAGGCCGTGGCGGCCAAGGAAGAAGTCGAAGCGGTGGAGCACAAAGGCCGGTCGCATGTGGATGAGGTGGAAGGTGAGGTGGCCCGCGTCGACGACGTTCTTGACGAGGAACGACAGGAACGCCGCGATGAGCCGGTCCGTCGCCTTTAGGTGCCGCGCCTCGGGCCCCTGCAGCGCGCGGATCGTCTCACAGCCGACCTCGATAATCCAGATCGCGCCGAGGAGACGGAGCACGAGGATGCACGGCACGAGCCAGCCCGCGGTGAGCACGAGGGCGAGGCTGAGCTCGACGACGTTCGGGAAGGAGATGTAGACATACTGCGGGTGCTTGTACAGCAGATAGCCATCACCCATCGTCCACTTCCAGAAGCGGTGCAGGTAGGCGAGCGCGCGGCCGTCGGTGCACGGCCACCAATCGTGGATCACCTTCGCCTCGACGACGCGGCCGAGGGGCAGCTTGAGCGCGTGCACGAGCTCGACGCAGTAGTCGACGTCCTCACCTCCGCCCGTCTTGGCATACACGGTGTCGAACTCAAGGTCATCGACGCGGCGCACCATGATATTCGCTGTCACGCCCCACGGGACAGTCTCGCCCATCCACTTGGGCAGGTTGTAGAAGAACGTGATGTCACTCAGCCGAGTCGCCTCGTGAAGGAGGTTGGCCACCGGCGGCAGGATCGTCGAGCCGACAAACCCCGAGTACTTTGCGCCGCGGTCGGCGGCCGCGAGGGCGTACGCGTTGAGGCAGGCTTGCGTGACCTCGACGTCGTCATCGAAGAAGAGCACCCACTCCGCGCACGCCTCGGCGAGGCCGCGCGAGCGCGAGGAGGACGCACCGACGTTCTCGGGGTTGACACGGACACGGACTCGTTCGCTCTGAAGCTTGAGGATCTCGTTCAGGTTGGGCGCGGAGGGGTTGTCCACGACGATGATGTACTTGACTGAGCAGCCCGGCGGGTCGTGTAGGCTCGTCATGCGCCACAGCAGCTCGCATGGTGTGCGGAAGCTCGGCACCACCACGTCGATCGTCACGAAAGGAGCCGCGGGCGAGCCGATGACCTTGATGAGCTGCTGCGCGTCTGGCGCGAGGCACTCCTGCTTCCAGCTCGCGAGAGGCTGGCGCTCGTAGCGAGGATTGGCGTCTTCCACCGGCCACGCGGCGGCGCCACCTCGGAGATTGGTCACCCGCGCGTCGGTGAGGACGCTCGCGCGGCCGACACGGCGATAGAGCTCGAAGAGGTACGGGTCAGCATCCTGATTGATGAAGCGCGGCGAGAAGAGACGGCCGAAGACGTCAAAGTGCGCGCGGGTGACGATTGGGAACGTGGTGACGCTGGGATCGTTGACGTCGATCGGCGCGACGCAGCCAAGGTCAGCCGGCCCGAGCGTCGGCTGGACCATTTGGGTGAACCAGTCGGCCGGGTCGACGCGGACGTCATCGCCCCACAGGACAAAATAGGAGCAGCCCAAGCGGTAGGCCTTGAGGGCGAGGCTCGCCCAGATGGGGCAGATGATCGCGGGCTTTGCGGGCGGGAACATCTTCACCTCGTACGGCACGGCCAACGTGAGCTTCGAGTTGAGCGCGCGTTCGCACGCCGCCCATCCCGCGTCGTCCTCGTCTACCCCGATGAAGAGCTTCGCGTTCAGAGTCGCGAAGCTGGCGTTCACGCTGTCGACCCAGACGTCGACCGGGAACTCCTCGGTGCAGCGGAGCGGCAGGAGGATGGCGATCTCATACGTGGTGAAAGGAGGCGAGTCGAGGACGGAGGTGAAGTTGTACGTGCGCACGTCGCTCGCGGTGTCGCGTCGCGCGTGCACCTCCGTCATCATGGATCAGTTAGTTGCAGCCGTTCTGGGACGTCCGAAATCTGGACGCGGACGATCGTGTCACGGTTCTCGAGGTCTCGAGGTTCTCGAGGTGGATATCCTTTGGCCGCTTGACATGCTCCATGCACACACCTCTAGCTCGATTTGGTCCTGTAGCAGCGCACTCTCTCTCCCTCTCGCCGCTAGCCCACGCTCCCCCACCCACGCACGCGTCCTCGCACCCCCTCCCTCGCCCGCTCGCAGCACACACGCTGCCGCGCACTCAGCCTTGGTCCACCTCCATCGCCGCGTCGAACTCGCTCCACGGGAAAGAAACACATCACGATAGGGTGAGATAGAAAGAAGCTACTTACTCGATCGAGTAGAGAGAGAGCTAGAGACTCGAGTACGAGGAGAGTTCGGCGCGCGCCCCGGGATGTGGCCTCGTGAGTCGTGTGCCGTGCCGGCTGCCATGCCGCCGCGCGCGCGTATACCGTGAGTCAGGCACACACTACACACACTAATGCCGCACCGGCGCGCCCGCCGTGCTCCACAAAATTCTTCCAGCTTCTTCACCCCACCCTGTTACTTCGACAGCCTGCACGATGCTCTCCCGCGTCTCCAAGGGCCTGGCGCGGCCCGGCTCGCGCCTGTTGAGCGGCGCGGCAGGCAGCGAGAAGCTGGCGATGGTCGGCAGCGGCAACTTCGGCTCCGCGCTCGTGCGCATCCTCGGCCAGAACGCACTGCGCCACGACATCTTTGACAATGAGGCGCCCGACCGCGCCCCCCGCGACGCAGCCGCCGCGCCGCGCCGCTCGCTCTGTGCGCGGCCGCGGTAGCCGAGGCGTCGGTCCGCCTCTCCCTGCGCCGCAGGTCAAGCTGTACGTGTACGAGGAGATGATTGATGGCAAGCCGCTCACCGAGATTATTAACGAGACCAACGAGAACGTCAAGTACCTCAAGGGGGCCAAGTTCACGCCGAACGTGAAGGCGGTGCCCGACCTGGCCGAGGCGGTCAAGGGCGCGACGATGGTCTGCTTCTGCCTGCCGCACCAGTTCCTCAAGCCGCTCATGCCCACCATCAAGGAGTCGGTGGCGCCGGGCGCAAAGGTGCTGTCCGCGATCAAGGGCATCGACTTTGACGACAATGGCGCGACCCCAGCCCTCGCCGCCCGCCACCCTCGCCCGGCCGCCCGACCGCTCCACCGCGCGCACACCGGCGGCTCGCTGCGCCTCTCCCTCCGCCACCTTGTGTGTGGCGGGAGTCACGCCCCCCTCCTCCGCCTGCGCCGCCACGCCTGCGCTGCCACTGCCTCTCTTCCACCCACCCCGCCACCGCCCTCCACCTCGCCGCCGCCGCCGCCGCCCACCGCCCTCGCCGCCACCTCCTTCCGCCTCGCCTTCACCCTCTCCGCCGCCCTCTCCCCCCCTCCGCCAGGCGTGGTACTCATCTCTGATCTGCTGCGCCAGGCGCACAGCCACCCCTGCTGCCTCTCCCGATCTACTCTCCCGCTCTACTCTCCCCGCTCCACTCTCCTGCCCCCCCCCCCCCCCACCTGCCGACTCTCTCTCTCTCTCTCTCTCTCTCTCTCTCTCTCTCTCTCTCTCTCTCTCTCGCTCTCTCTCTCTCTCTCTCTCTCTCTCTCTGCCGCCGCTGCTGCTGCGTGCTGCCCCGGCTGCCCCTGCCGCCTCTCTCCACTCCCTGCCGCGCTCCTTTCTTGCGGTGCTCATCTCCTGCCCCCCGCCCCGCCAGGGCCTCAACGCGGACTGCTCGGTGCTGATGGGCGCGAACGTGGCCAACGACATGGCGCTTCCTAGACACTTCCTAGACACTTCCTAGACACTTCCTAGACACTTCCTAGACACCTCCTAGACACTTCCTAGACACCTCCTAGACACTTCCTAGACACTTCCTAGACACTTCCTAGACACCTCCTAGACACTTCCTAGACACTTCCTAGACACTTCCTAGACACTTCCTAGACAGCGAACTCTCGAGGAGGCGCAGCTCGCCTCGCACGTCCACGACACGTCCAGGCATGTCCACGACACGTCCACGACATGTCCCGGACACGTCCGCAGGCGTCGGACCAGTTCTGCGAGACGACCATCGGCTACAAGGACGCAAAGAACGGCGAGCTCTTCAAGCTCGCGTTCGACGCCCCCGCCCTCAAGGTTGGGACAGTCCCTGACACGGTGAGCCGCGCCCAGCTGCTGCGGCGCAGCCTCCCTCCCTCCCTCCCTCCCTCCCTCCCCTCCCTCCCTCCCCTCCCTCCGGCCCCTCCCTCGCCGAGCCGTCCTCGAACCGCGCCACGGCGCAGGCGAGCCTCGTCTCCATCACCGCGGCATCCGGAGAGGGGGGTTTGGAGATGGTTGACAGAGAAGGGGTCGCTGAAAATGTGAATACGGTGGTTTAGCACTCGAGTCTCGACCTGGAGCACACTTGTTATGTTTACACAAGAGAGTCAAAAAGTGTAAGAGCCCTACTGACGTATCGACACTGAGAGAACATCTGCCAGAACGAAATTCGGATGAGATTCATGCTTAGCGCATTCAAACGGATTTGCGGCAAAAGGCGTGAAGGCCGTTCCGAAGGGCACACAAACGACAGCACAACTCGGGTTTCCCCTTAACTGCAGAACGCCGCCCCTCTACTCGGAGCTAAAGAATACTCTCCGAGGGATAGTACCGCGCTCCGGGTTTCCCCTAGCAGCAGAACGCCCCCTCTACTCGGAGCTAAAGAATACTCTCCGAGGGTTGGACCCGCGTACCAGGTTTCCCCTTAACTGCAAGGACGCCCCCTCTACTCGGAGCTAGTGATACGGGAATACGTACCGCCCCCACGCGATCCCTTACTCGAAGATAATACGAGAATACGCTGCGAGGCACCTATAAAGAAAAACAGCATGCTAAATTTCGGCGGCTAAAAAGCAAAGGACGGGCACTTTTGATCGGCAAAGCAAAGTTGGAGTAACGGCGACCGCGTTCGCAATGAAGTCGCCTGTCGAGCAGCTTCCGCGGCGCGCATGCGCCGCGGGGTTGACCGACAGCCGCGCCTCTCGCGCCTCCCGTGCCACGCGCGGCGA